TTGCAACAGCCGTTTTTAAGTGTACACAGTGCGTGCCCCGTGGCCAAGCTGACCGGGCTGTTGCAGGTATCGATATCTATGGAAGGGGGGTATTCTGGGCCAGATCTTGCTCTGGTGCAGGGACAAAGGGGAGACAGCTTGCAGCTGCTCTATTCAGGGGCTTTCCGGGGGGCACTGCGGCACACAGTGCAGGATAGGGAAGTCCTTGGTCTAAGTTGCAGCTCTGCTTCCATGGCTTTGCTGCTGTTGCCTTCAAACTTACCCGTAGCACTTAAAACCAACCCCTCTCAGGCTCCAATGGCCCGGCCGCGGGAGCACCGAATTGCTGGATCTGCCCTGCCCGCAACTCCTTCCACTCCCCACGCACCCCTCTGGCTGGCCTGCAACATGCTGCTGTTCTGCTCAAAAGTGCCTCCTGTGCCGGGGCGGGGGCTCTTACCGGCTGAGCACATAGCCCCCAGAGCCGGCTCTTCATATGACCCACAGGACCCTGTACCAATGCTATTCACTGGGGTCCTTATACCGCTGCTAAAGCCCCCTTGCCTCCAGCTTACTAAACTGAGCCCTGTGTACTCGAGGGCCCCAGGTCAACCTCAGCAGTCAGTCTTTGGTGGTACAGTTATTTCCTGCAGCTAGACATGTGACTGTTTGTGAGCACGTTCTTTTCCAAAGCAAATCCCTCCATGCTGTTTTGAATTAAAGGCAGTGCTGGCCATCCCAGTGCTCACAAGCAACCACCGTGCATCCCGCACAATCACAATCGCCGGGGACCCCGACAACAGTATTGCCAACCCCAAATGTTCAAAAATCATGAGTCAGGCTCAACTAAAATCATGAGGTTGGCTTTAAAATCAGGAGATTATAGACAAATAATAGATTTGGTGTGTTTTTTTCTTTGCCTACTGCTTTTTGAGCCTTTAGGGTGCACTGGGGTCACATTTTGAAGCTTTCTCCACAGTCATGAGGCTAGAAACGTACTTTCTCTTTAAGAATGAAGACTGACATCATCACATAGCCACTTGATTCCAGGAGCTGGGACTTTAAGGAAAACAGTTATCATGAGGCTCTTGACAAAATCATGAGAGTTGGCAACACAGCTAACAACAAGCCAGTGTGAGTGGCTTAGTACTCAAAGCAGCCCTACAATAACAAGGGATTTAAAACTCTCATTGGGAAACAGACTTGCAGTTTCAGATTTTCACTTTTTAAAAATTATTATTTCTTTGTTGTAACAACAAGGTTTTAAATAATGGATTTTTAAAAGGACCAGGACCATTTGCCTTTCGACTCAGCCTGGCAATGCAAACTCTTAGCCCCTTGGGCAAGTGTCGCAGCATGGCACTGCATGCCTCAGGCCCGTCCCTCGGCTCTCCTCACCACAGATGTTGTTACACCCACTTGCGGGGTAACGGTTACATTGGATGGAGGAACCTAGCACCACTGCCTGTTATCTCCTGTTGAGTAACCCCTTGATCATCTAATGCTGCCGGAAGTGTCATTTCCTATGTGTATGTGGATTTAGCAGTGGTTTGTGCTCAGATCTTAAAGTGTGGTCTTTTTTTTTTTTAATGCTATGTTTCAAAAGGACTACAGATGCGTGTCTTAGACCCCAGATTAGCTTGCTGAAAACAGGTATATTTACAAACCCTAATATTAGCAGAATTCTTTTCATGCTTTAACCTCCATGTGACATGTTCTCTTTGCATTTTAAAATGTCCCTGCAGCAATTATAACCTGCATCCTGCAATGTTGGGCTGCTGAACTTTTTGGGGTGTCCTCATCTTATGGAGAGGACCAACTTGCAGTATTACCAAGGGCTATGTGGTGGGAGGTCACAAAGCTAGGGCTAGCCCAGGTGCAGGACTTAGTGCATAGCGGAGTGCGCAGTGATGTCCTTTCAGGCTCGATCCTGTCACCCGTTTTCACATGAGCAGCCCCATTTACTGGGCTTGCATCAAGAGTTGGTATCAGGCTGTTTGGGATTCAGGCTGAATCAACACGGGGTATTTATTCAGTGGCATCCAAATCTTGGGAGATTTTGACCAAAAGAGGCAGAAATCTCATCACATCAGGTGAGCCAGGGAGATTTTCACATGTCTCGTCCAGAACTGGAAAGCAGGCCCCTGACAGTTTGGGGTTGTGTGTGTGGTTTTTTTGTGTGCAGGAGGTAGGGGTGGGATTCTAATCTGAACTGTTACCTCTCATTTATCTCCCCTCCCCACCAAAACATCTGAGGGGATTTGGAATCAAGATTCTGGTTTGAATCCATCTCTATCAGTAACTAAATGTTTTAAAGGCCACTTTCAGTCCCAACGTAAGCCAGAGCAACTCCCCTTGACATCACTGGGGTTACCCAGGGCCAGATATGCTCCTGTGTTAGGAATACAGTGATGCAGGACACCCCCTGCCCCAGAGGCACCTCTTGCTACCTTCCCCCCCTCCTTCCTTTTTCTGCTTCTCTCTCTTTTTATCTGCCTTTTGGTCTCCCCTGCCTTTCTCCCTCCTCCTCTCTTCTGTCCCGGGGTGGGGTGACTTGAATTTAAGAGGATAGATCTCCTAGACCTCCCCCACTACTCCTGATCCGCCTTCTTCCTTTTTTCCTTCCCAGGCCTGAGCAGGGACGTTGTTGTGCGGAGCAGACTTTCTCCTTTCTCTCCAGTCTCCTGATCAGCTCCATCTTGCTCCCCCTCTCCCTGAACACTATCTCTGCCTCCCTACTGCACTGAGCAGGGATCAGAGAGGGGGAGGATGAGCAACAATTACCATGTCCCCTAGTGACCAGAGAGGAGAACACCCAAGGGAAGCTTTCCCTGCTCCCCACGTTTAATCCTTGTCACCCAGGCAGGGAGTGGGGCAGCCTAGAAGCCAGATGAGGGAGGGGGAAATAGGGCTGCGCTCTGGGGTGCCACCACTTACAGCAGGGCAGTTTTTTAAACTGACGGGGCCTGAAGGAGCGCAGCTCATAGCTGCCCTGCATCCAGCGGCTGTGGATAAATGCATGAGCTGGATGTTTCTGCTAGACCAACCAGCAGTTTAAATGGTTAACCATATGCATGTTTAAATTGTTGCCATTAGGCTCCAGAGTTAACATAATCCGACATATACAAGGTATCTCACTCTTCCTTGATAGCTATTGCTTCAGGCTGTCAGCAGACTCAGGCAGACAGCACTGCATCAAGTCCCATTTGGAATGTTTTTCACAACTCTAAGGGCTAGAAACATCATTGTTCTCGTAAATGAAAACTTTTCCTCAGTATCTCCACTTGCCTTGGAAACTGGAATAACACAGCGGACGAGTAGGATCTATCCTGGAGTCTGACACCAGTTTAAACACCCCTCCAGTACAAAAGGAGTGTGTCTATGTAGTACAGAGAGAAATAAAAACTGAGCAGGAGGTTCTTTTGTTTCAAACACTAGAGCAGTTTTTTAAAAACAGCAAGTAAGACAACAAATTTATAACGGTTAAGTATCTTGACAACTTCCCTATTAATTAGCAAGTGACCTGAGCCTGGAAATGTATACCTTAGTCTTTCCCCTTGTTACTGCCTAGCACAAATGCTATTACACCCTTTTGTCAGATAAAACGGTTGGGATTGCTCTCTGTTACCTCCTGTTGAGTAATTTCCCTCATTGATCCACCCCAGTAGGCAGTGGCATTTCTCATGTCCACGTGGGTCAAGTTACTCGGCAGTTGCAATGGAAGTTGTGAAATGCAGTTGCCTTTTATTTGTGGTTTTATTATTTTAAAAGGACATGCATGAAATGTTTGTACCCCGAACTTCGGTTTTATTTATTGGCAGAAATATTTTGAAGATAGATGCATTTTCTTGCATTCCATGTAAATAGTATTTTCTTTGATTTTAAACATGACCCATGAAGCGTTTGCAGTTCAAACATTGCCACAGTTTGCTAGTATGGAGAGCCAGAAAATGAAACTGACGAGAAGAAACAAAATAAAATGAAACCGATTAGGCTTGCAGTCCAAAGGTAGTAAAATACAGAAAATTAAAACAAATAAACACACCATTAGTCCTGACAAGTAAATTTAAGAATGTTAGTTCTGAAAACTTTCAGGAATTCAGATGTTACAAAGAACAGGGATAAGGAAAGTTGTGTTACAAAATACACTTATTAACCTGACCAGGCTCTTTTAAATCTCAGAGAAAGAGCAGGGTGTATGCGTGTGTGAGAGAGAGTGATTCGTGTTTATAAGGCCATGAGTTTGAACTCAGACTTCTAGGTCTATTCCTTACTCTCTCACTGATTCAATGTGGGCATGTCACTTACGGCTTGATTTTCCTAAATCCCGAGCACCTATTGCCTCAGTTTCCCGATGTGTTATATGGGACACCAACAATTTAAAAATCACATATCGGTCTGAATTTTATGAATGCCTGCAAGATGTCTAGTACAATGGGGTGCTCAGTACACTTTTCCAAGACACCCTAGGGCTGTTATGATGTCATGTATAATGTATTTAACCATCCGCTGGCTCCAGAACTTTTATGTGGTGTGTAGGGCCATATACAGACCCGGATCTTTTTTAAGGCCCGGCTTGACAAAGCCCTGGCTGGGATGATTTAGCTGGGAATTGGTCCTGCTTTGAGCAGGGGGTTGGACTAGATGACCTCTTGAGGTCCCTTCCAACTCTGATATTCTATGATCTGCATTTAGAAATCTCACATGTGGGCAGCAGCAAGAAGCGCATTGACACCTTTGAGTATGTGATGTGGGACTTGAATCCAGTAAATCCTAACCCAGAGGTGACCACCTTTCTCAAGGCGTCACACCCAGGGTGACAGATAGCTTGGCAAGTGGTGGAAGGGGACAAGTTGCTAGTTCAGTGTAAGAAGCTGAGTGGGTCTAAATAGAAGGTGACACCAACTCCTATTTAACCTAGACTCTCGTCCTGGGAGCTCTTTTCTCTCCGTCATAACATCTCAAGAGAGCACCCGAGAGGTAGTAGCAAGGAAAGTAAAATGCTCTGCTTTCTTCTCCAGCTGCAGAGGATAGGATCCTGGGGACCAGCTGGCACGGGAAGTCAGGCCGAAGTCCACTCCAGGCACTTTACGACAGTGACCAGGTGGGTGAACGTGAAGAGGAAAATGAAGGATCTGAATAGTGGTTGTGGGGAATCTGGCGGGGTTTGGTGGGAATTGACCCATTATTTAATGACATTTTTGTGTATCCTAAAATTGCAGCCTCACACAGGCTGCTTTGCAGTAATGACCTGACCTTGAGGTGTCAAGGGTGGCGTCTGAAAAAGGTCACAACCTTCTAGATAATTATCAGTGATAAAAAGTACTCCAGACCCCTGCTGCTACTTGTGTCAAGCAGTTTCATTAGCCTTTGGCCTGGCACAGCCAGGCTGAGGTACAGTAGTTGAGGATCCAACAATGGTGCTCTAACTGAGGATTTCAAAGCAAATTCTACAGCACAGAAGATGGGTAAAATCTTCCCCAGCTGAACATGTGAATGGCTATACTGGGTCAGACCAATGGTCCATCTAGCCCAGTATCCCGTCTCTGACAGCGTGCAGTGCCAGGTGCATCAGAGGGAATGAACAGGACAAGGCAGTTTTGAGTGATCCATCCCCAGTTGTCCACTCCCAGTTTCTGGCAGTTGGACACCCCAAGTATGGGGTTGTGTTCCTGACCATCTTGAGATCACCCCAGCCATGTTTTCCAAGATAACTGAACAGGGCACCATTGTGCTAGGTGCTGTACAGACAGAACAGAGTCTACAGTCTAAGGCCTGGTCTACACTGGGGGGCGGGATCGACCTAAGTCACGCAACTTCAGCTACATGAATAATGTAGCTGAAGTCGATGTACTTAGACTTACTCACCGCGGTGTCTTCACTGCAGTGAGTCGACTGCTGCCACTCCCTCGTCGACTCTGCCTGTGCCTCTCGGGGCGGTGGAGTAGAGGGGT